TTGTGGTAGCCATTAATCTGTCACCTTTAACCAAGTGAGCTAGATCAAAATCAAAGGCCACCCCAAAATGTGTTTGTAGTAAATGAACTCTTCATTATAGCAAATATTCCCTTCAGGATAAGGATTTAGAAGGGGTTGGGAAAAGAGGGATAGAAAGACAGAAGGAGAGGAAAAGGTGAGAAATGAGGCTAGAAGCCACAGGAAGATCATGCAAATTGTGGGAAACTGTTGAAGGCAGGATGAAAAGACAGAGCAAAACAACAGTGATGAGATCAGAACAGACTAACAGCAATAGGGAAGCTAGAAACTGTATTCACCTTCCTATAAGAATAGTGACAGTCAAGAGAAGTACAGAGAGAGAAACAGTTCGAAATGGGACAGGAAAAGGAACATAGAAGGAGAGAAATGCAGAACGAGAAGGGAGAGAGAGGGAGAAAAAAAAATATATATATAAATAGAGAAGGGCCTCCCTCAGGATATGTCTCTGCTGCTCTGCTGTCCTGGTAGACAATGTGGGCAGCAGTGTGGAGGTCTAAGTTGATTAGTTTCAGCAAACCAGCTGTAGTCTACTGAGATTCAGGCTGATTTCTGGCTGCAAGGCCCATGTTGAGCTCCCTGACCTCCTGCAGAATTGAGCTCCACAAGGCTCTACTGCAGGTTCCAGCTGTCCTTCCCCCTAAGTGAGTTCGGGTTTTTATGGGAGGTGCTAATCCCACCAATTTACCAACCATGGTGGTCCAGTGTGCCTTTATTGCAGAGAATTTCTTTACTTTCCAAGAGGGGTTCGATTTCCATTGAGGATCCTCAGAGAGGCCCTCTTTGTTGTTCACTTCTGCTCTATCTTCTGGGGCTCATAACCATGGCCTTTATGGCCCTCTGATGCCTCTGCCATGTGGATTCAGATACTGTGTATGGAGTGCTCCTGCAGGGCACAGCCCTTGCAATGGTTCCAGCTCTCAGCAATAGAGTTTTAGTTAAAAAATGTAGTATTCCAATTTTATATTATTGATCATTTAATTTACTGTGACATTCTAGTCAAGGCTTCATTACTACAGTCATTCTAACTGGCCTTTTAATATAGCCTTTTTGGTGGTTTTTATTTTTTATTTTTTGGTGTTGGGGATCGAACTCAGAACCTTACACTTTCAAGGCATCCAGCTAAATTCCCGTCCCTAATTTGGCCTTTTAAAGGCTAATATTGTTTTACACAATACACAGGGCTGATGTAGGAAAACCTACTACCTATCTGTACCAAAAATCTTGTAAAATGTGGAAATGCTCTGAGCCAAGATAATAACTTCTTTGTCTTTATCTTTCTAGGGTATTCAAGAACACCACTATGCCTAGAACATTTTAGTATATCTAGTAATTATATTGTTCATTTGTAATAATTGTATTGCAGCATAAAGAAAGGATCTTTATATAAATAATAATAGCATAAAGTTAGGTGATGTGTAGCAGTCTAAAATGTGTGTTAGACTTTTTGTACTTGGGAAGCTTGGAATTTGGCCTTTTTCTTTATAAAGTTAGTGTATTGCAATGTTCCATGTCCACTCACACATTGAGGAGCTTTGGAGAGTTTTGTACACAAAAAACATTTACCTCCATAGTGATACTTTCTTTCTCTTATTCACCCAATGGCAGCAATCTCCAAACAGTTTTTCACAAAATCTGTGCTGTCTTCATTAATATTTATACCATGTTCAACTCCTCCACCTCTTCTTATTTACAAAGACTTTGTTTCCATTTTTTCCTTTTCTCATATTTTTTCCTTTTCCTTCCCCTCCCACTTTCCCTTCCTCTTTAGACCTTTTCTTCCTAGTTCACATTATTACACATTTGGATCCTTATTTACACTTTCAGTTTCTTACACAGAGAAACTATTTGGTATTTACACATGTGTGTCCTATTATTTCACTTAAGAGTATGGCTTCAGTGTGCATCCATTTAGCTATGAATGACTCTAGTTTCTCATTTTTTATGGCTGAATAGTACTCCATTTTATAAAAAATAACACATCTTCTTTATCCAGTCTCCAGTGAATGGGCAATTGGGGTTGAAGGGAAGACAGGGTAATAGGCAAAAAATAAGAACCAAGGTATATCACGTAAAGGTACAAATTCACAATGATGAATATCATCATATTGTATACCTAAAATGTACCAATAAGCTTAATAAATAAAAAAATTGATACCATATTTTTAAAAATGTTTCTCACACTTTTTACCATGTTAAACCATGTGTCTCTTATTTTCTACTTTAATATAAGCATTTGGAACAAATGTTGCTTTACTATAAAAATCTAAACTACTGATAAAAACAGGGAGTTCTAGAGACTAATGTAGAAAAAAAATCTTGGTCTCTGAAATAGATATTTTAATGCTTAAAATTAGATGACTAAAATTCAAGTTAAGTCAAGTGGGTAGACTATAATTTCATGAATTCTTTTTGCTAGTCTTTTTTGTAAAGCCAAGGCACTACAGTCAGAATTCTTTATAGGTTTCTTCACCCAATTGTGTTTTGTAGTTCCTAGTCTTTTTAGAAGACAAGAAGACAACATAATTACCATGCTTTCTTTTATTTTCAAGTGATATTTTGAACTGACCAAATACAATTGTTTAAAAATTATGAAAATTAATTTATTCAATATCAACAAGTATAACAATTCAGAAATGAATATAAATTTCAGATGTGGTTGGTAACTTGGAGCAGTGGATTTCTTTGTGACCATAAATATTTCTTATATGTGCACACATATATAAAATAAAGTACAGAAAACATTCTTAGGGAAAATATAGAAACTATATTAAGAGTTTTAATAACATATTCCAATGTTTGTATCTCAAAAATTTTAATAGTTAACACTTTTTCTAAATCTGACAATTTATGTGATACAATTTCTGGCATTTAGGGAATTCTCTATATGCACATAGTATTGACTGGAAGTAATATGTGGTTATTTGTATAAGCCTCTTTTCTTGTACTATAGAGAGTTTTTCTAAAGCTCAAATATTGAAATATGCCAATTTTATCTTAATCTCTAGTTATTTAGAAGAATATAACTCAAATACAATTTTATGTTTGTATTAGGTTCAAATTGCATTTCACCACATCTTTTGAACATGCTACATTAAAAAAACATACTTATCCTTGAAGATTTTAAAATATTCTCAATTATATATATTTCTTACTCTTCAACTAATGCTTATTTGTCTGCACAATTTAGTCTACCCAACTCAGTGTGGAAGATATATAATAAAAATTCAAGTTCATAATATTAATCTTTGTATTATCTACAACTTGGTCCCATTAATTTTATTTTAATCTATGTCCATTTAGTCACTTTCAACAATAATTTATTAAATGACTCCCATTTCTATGCTTTTCTAAATGAGCCTGTAATTACCTTGAAAATCAGACTCAGAGGGAGAGGCATTTCTGTTCTGATTATTCTAACTAATTGGAAGAGATTCATTACTTTTAGAGAACAACACTATTAAAGAAATGTATCAACTCTCTGTTTTCTTCACAATATACACAGTATTAGGTATTTGTCACATATTCTCAGTCCTATGTTAGTGATGAAAAGTATTTATTAAAGATTTTACATTGGTATTCGTTCACTAGTATCTAAAGAATCAATACAGATTTGATGACTATGAATTATTTATTATATTAATAAATTATTATGTTGAGTCTATTGTAGTATAGCATAGTGTTCCACAGAGTTGGCATTCAAAAATATTTTTTCATTAAATTTTAAAATTTTAAATCTTAAACGTACTACTTTGGTTTTCCATAGTGAAGATAGCAATTGGTAAAAATTCAGAATTTCTTCCAGTTCTTCACTGAGTCTCTTGTGTCACAGAATTCTGTTTATCATGAATAAATACGTGAAATTATAAGATAATCAGTGGAGTCACCATTGTCTTCCATTCTCAAAAAGACATATCCATTATACTTTATTGCCCTATGGATGATCCTTGAAAAATTTTTAATTAATCACTCACTCACATAGTTACTGAGCTCACACAATATCTGTTCTTGCACTTGTAAAATAAAAAAAATACTTTCCCCATACTTTAATTGTTGTCTGCTCTTCTTGATAATTGTACAACAAAAGTTCACATTAGCCCTGCCATGTTCTAAGGAAGGAAACAAAATATAGTCATTAGACTTATTGTACAGTCATCCAGCTCTGGTACTCATTAGAGATAAAGATGATATTATTTCTAGACCCCATTTTTTATTCTATGAAAAGGTAAATGAAAGAAAATTCTTTTCTTCTATGGTTGAGACTCATGATTGACCTTACATGTTTGGTGGATGTTTTAACATTTTGATTTGGATATCCCATTTGAGAAAAAGAGCACTAAATGTGTCCCATAGTATTCTTTGCATTGATCTGGATTTTAGGGACATCTGATTAATTTCATTCTTCTTTGTTGTTTGCTGAATAATTTAGATTTGACATATTAATCTTTCTGTAAAATATGTTAGTAATGTCCCTCATGGCATTACATTAGAAAGTAAATGCATGAAATTACTGAAAATATATCAATATAATATAGAAAAAAGTGGAAAGGAATTATTTTCAGGTATTAATCTGAAATATTAATATTAAATAAATATTAGGTAAATATTAATACCTAGTGTGGCTCCTATTTAAAGATTTTGTTTCTTTTTATTTCTATAATACAAATACATTTCTTTTTTTTTGCAAGATAAAATGTTTTGCTGGCAGTTGTATTTTGCACTGAAATTAAAACTTAGAGGCCAAGTCTTGTTGGTGGCAATGAAAGAGTAAACTCGTCTTCTTGATTTATTCTTTACTTGTACAACTGGGATTGATTTATTTATTGGTATTTATTTATTTATTTATTAGTTTTTCTCAAGAAAGTAATGAAATTACACAGAAATTGCCTGGGAAATGTTATGTATTTCTATTATTGTTTTGATATAGCTGTTTTTACACTTAAAGTTCCTCTTTTATTTTGTAGTTATGTGTGGCAGATTCCGTTAACCATTGTGGTAGGAAATAGAAGCCATGTGTCTTCAGAAGCAATTATTTGGGTGTCTAACAAATCAGGTAAAATATATATTCTACCCTGAGGAACAATTTTCTTTCAGATAATTGCTTTGCAACTTAACCTCTGCTTTCAGCTATTGTAAAATGTGAATAAAGACAAATTATAAAGAGAAAATAAAAGAATGATAACATCTACAAAATTAGGTATAGTGTAATATAGTTTCCAATTGGTCTAATTTCAGACTGCCTATGTAATTATTAAATTTATTTTTTCATGATAAAGAGAAAATTCTAAATTAAGTATTTGTAGTACGAATCTTATGATTTTTAATTGTATACTGTTATAATCCCAATTGTAATAAAGGTACAATCATAACTCCCAGTACAACAGTCTTTCAAATACAGAAATAAAACTCATTTTTATTCCCATTTTTATACTATTTGTTCTTTTGCCAGGCTGTCTCTTAGAAGGATATGAAAGGCAATATTCTCCATGGAATTAGATAATTATAGGGCCAGGAGGGAGAGACATATAGAGGTCATCATACCATCTCCTACATAGGGTCAAAGAGGAGCCGAGAGCGATGAGATTCTATGCTCAGTCTAAATATCCTCAGATAAGATAGTGACCTATTTCAGTTCACTGTCAGAAAGCTATTTCTTGAATCCAATCTATATCCTTCATGCTAGGGTGTGAAACAGGTCTGTTTTATTTCTGTTTTCCATTCAGTTGTAGAAAAAGCCAATTATCATCTTTTATGTAAAATTGCTTTTAGATTTAGAGGGTCAATTTTGTCCTTATTTTTCTTGTGCATTTCTCATATACTGTTAATTATTGTTATATCAATTTAAATGACTACAAATCTTATTTTTTAAATAAGGTAAGGTATAAATATTTTTCTTCCCCTCTGTCTTGCTATTACAAGGCAGATTTAAGTGCTCAAAACACATGCATGCAAATGAAAAAAAGTATTTAGAGAAAAATCTATTTTGGTTTCTAGAATTATAAACAAGTAATTCCAGGTGGATTTTATTTTAACACTTAGTCATCTATTATCAAAATATGTTTTAACTTATATACACTGTAGATGAAACTTGCATATATAATCTAATGATGCATTGAAATACTGTAACATTTATTGGTGTTTTTCTTTTTAAGTAAGTATAGCCTACTCTTTTTATTCCTTGGTTTTAGTATTTATACCATACTTCTGAACTCACACTCACTGTATTATTTTTCTTTGTATTTCTCTTTCCTACTTATGTACTTATTTTATCTATATAATTTTGATGAAATGAAATTTTTATGAAATCGTGAGTTGTTATTGAAATGCCTCAGATATTATTAGACTGAAATCATCCTACCATAGGAGATCGAGGATCATGAGAATGAAGCTTCTGCAAATAAAGTAAAATGTTTTTTCCTGGAAGGTAGAATAGAAATGGGGAAAAGTAGAAGAGTGTAAAGGTACTGATCAAATATCAGGATTAAAGCAACATTTTACTTTTAGAAATTGAGAAAATTTAGTGCAAGTTTGATTTTTGTTGCACGCATTTCCCTGGTCCATTTCCTCTAACTCTGATTATTTCCATGGTATCCTCTTATCCCACATAAAATCAAGAATTGTGTCATGGCTTTCCTCGACCCATCAGCTCTAATTGCTATCTGAAGAATATTTTTGTATCCTTTCATTGTTAACCAGGAATAATAATTATGTATTGGTTTAAACCATATGATTGCCTAAAATATTGCTTATGTGTATACACATAAGCTTTGTGTATTGTTCTAAAAGGTGCTATTTGCACAATCTATGACAGGAATGCCACACTCCCTTACCCAAAAGTTATAGAATGTACAAGCCACATGGTATAATGTAATGTATCATTTCCCATTAATTAAGAGCAGAATCTCTTATTTCATATAAACATTATCACAAGTGAAATGTTGAACCTTTAGGGGGATGCCCATATTAAGTAAATGCCTGTAAAATCTTTGTAAATACAAAAATATGTAAGAAAATTTCCAGAAGAACCTAAAAGAAAGATTACCTGCTTCTTTTGTTTTTTCAATTCCATTTTAATTGTGTTCGTTCTTTTCTGGAAGTATTTCATTTTGATAATTGATAATTATATGTTATCATGTCTCTTTTTGTACAAAATATAGTCAACTAACAATATCAATGAAAATTGTTTTTCATGAAAACATAAAATATTCTGGTCAGTTTTTATCAACATATATAAAGAGAAATTCCACATTTAATTATATTAACAAGATCAATATTTCTTATAATTTCCATCATCAGTAGTGATACAAATTTGATCTCAAGATATATCTAGGCAAAATCATTGGTGCATAATATTAATTTGATTTGAATCATCATATGTTCTTGATAATTCATTTTCTTAAATCACTTTGGATGACTATCTAATTAATTCCAAGGTAAAGCATATGTTGTTGTATACTAAAAATAATTTTAAAACCAATTATTGCTTTTAAAGGAAAATTGAAGGTTTTTTTCATTTTTGCTATGAAAATACCAACAATTCAATGTAGTTATTTATATACTGGATTACTATTTGATTAATGGCAAATTGAGGATAATAAATTTAATGCCAAATATTAGGAAAGATTCACAATAAAAAAACTGATTCTGAAAAGTACACAGACATTAAAATTAACATAATGCTATATTGCTTTCCTCAAACACTGACTCATCTGAGATTCACGAAGTTGAAAGGGACTTCATCCATCTTCTATAAATAAGGAATGAAGGCTTGGGACATAGAGTACCTTTCATTTAGTTTGTTGGAGAGCTGGCTCTAGGAGCTTGATTTCCTCTCCTATATACTCTCCCCTGAATACACAGACACACATCACACATACAGACATATATACAAATGCACATAAGGTGAGATTTTTTGCAGATCAACCAGTTAGTGTCAGTCACTCAACATGATGCTTTGGACAGAGGCATATATTTCTTTATAGCTTCCAGAAGGGATTATCTCAATTGACTTAACAAGATTCTACTGATGGAATCCATATATGTTGTTAACCCTGATTGTGTCTCATATTGTCATCTTTTTAAACAAAAAATTCTAATTTTTCTACGACTAGAAAATATTGGGTAGAAATACTGATTCTGATTTCCCTTATTATTCCAAAAAAAGTATAAAATGCAAAATGTTATAAAATACAAACTACTCTATGCCTTGATATAGTCTGAGTCTTGGGCCATTCTAGATATAAATATATTTTGATTATTATTACCAACACTCAAAATACAATTTCCATATATTTTATTGTGGTACTTATCAAATACCTTACCTCATTAGGCCATTGGAAAAGATCTCTTTAAAATTCATTGCTTGCCATTAGTTAATTTGAAGAACATCTTAGGGATATAATTAACTAGAACTGAAAAGATGTTTGCAAATTTATTACAAAATATTTCAGAGAATAATTTCTCCAAAGATCTTATTTATAACTAAGGTATAAAAGTATTCATGAAAAGTAATAACCTTCAGGTTTTAGTTATAAATTTAATAATTATATACTTAAAACAATAGTAGCCCATTTTTCTCATTTTAGTGAGGTGACATAGTAGCTATAGGGATTATTTTTGTATTTTAATACACATGAATTTTAACTTGACTATATTCTACCTGTAAGTTTTTTAATGGACTAAATTTAATAAACAGAGCTGAGTGTGTCACATGGAGCTTAAATTATGCCAACAACCTAAAATGTGAATAGGAAATTACTTTTTAAAAAATAGATTTAATATTATTGCAATCCATGAACACTTCAGATAGGTAACAATTTAAATCATATGTTCAGTTGTTAAACTTAATGCTTAAACATTGTAACACACGTGAAATGAAAATTATCAAATTTAGTGAATTCAGTCATTTTTATAAAAACTTAATATAGTACTCCATTACTACTAAGCCATAAAAAACGAGAAACTAGAGTCATTTATAGCTAAATGGATGCATATTGAGGCCATACTCTTAAGTGAAATAAATAAGACACACGTGTAAATACCGAATAGTTTCTCTAGTGTGAGAAACTGAGAGTGTAAATAAGGACTAGAAGGATTAATAACTAATAATTGATACTTTAAAATAGGAAAAGGTCCAAAGGGGTAGGGGTGATGGGAGGAGATGGGGAAAGGAAAGAATGGAAAGGAAAAATTATGAGAAAAGAAAAAAAATGGAAACAAAGTCTATGTAAATAGGGAAGGGGGAGAGGGTGAAGGGCGCACAGGTAATGGGGAAAAAATAAGAACCAAGATACATTCTGTACAGGTACAAGCACCCAATGATAAATGTAAATGTATTGTATACCTAAAATGTACCAATAAAAGAATTTAAACAACAACCACAAAAAACAATATACCTAAAGGCAATTAGGGTTACTCAGGAGAAAGAATATTCGGTTTTAACTTTTATTCCCCTGAATTCAGACATGATTAATTACAAAACCTCTTTATGATTTTTTAAAAATTCCATATCTTCTTATTAGTTATTTCTTGTGTCATTGTTATATCTATAAAATTGCTGTTACCTTCTAAATTTCTTAAAGCAATTAATGAATCATCATTAAATTTTGAAAACTATGTATATGTATTTATAAAGCTTTAGAGACTTGCGAAACCAGTTTTCATTTTAGAGAACTATCTAGCATTCTTGCTTAATTTGATTAACCTGTCTGAGCCTTTTTTTTTCTATCCGCTCCAATAGACACAATTTATAAATGTGGCAAAAAGTTGAATTGATACTTGAAACATTAAAGACTAAATTTTTATGTTCAGTGTACTTTTGGGTTTAAGTACATTTTTTTTAGTGCAGATTTTGAAAATGACTAATTTGTAACATTCATCAAGTTAATTAACTCACTCCACTTCAGGCCTAAACAATAAATGATTATTAATATCGACTCAACATTTTTGATGTATAACTTTTTGTTGTGTAGCCTTTACTTGAGAGAGAGAAAGAGGTCGGGAATGGGGGAAGAGAGAGAGAGAAAGAGGGAGGGAAAGAGGAAGGGAGGGAGAGAGAGAGAGGGAAAGAGATGTACATTCAGTCCTTGAGGGAAATACAAGCGAATATTATGTTTCTTCTTTTGGATTCTGATGAGTAAAAATCTTGATAATGGAATAAGAACTAGTGGTGTGGCCAATACTTAGCTTTGAAGCATATGAGTCCTGTAGCAAATTTTATGGTTTGGAATCATTGTAGAAATTAGAATACATCAGTATTTTTTTTATTCCTCCTGCATGTCTGTGTGTGTATGTGTGTGTGTATGTGTGTGCGGGTGTGTGTGAAGTTTAAGTCAACTTTATCTTGTGAAGTCTATGAAGCATGAGTTCTTAAGATCATCAAAAAATAACAAAATTTTGAACCTTGGCTCCGTGGAATCAGTAATAGTAAATTTTACTAGTAAATAGAGTTCTCAGTCTGTACCTTGGTTGAAGGACACACACACACACACACACACACACACACACAAAAACCACATATAATTTTTACTGGCTTCTGTTAATTGAATTCTCTGGTGAACATAGTAAATTACTATTTTCCAAAGTGATTCTAGTAGCAGAATTTATTCTTGCTTCTCTTTCTATCTGGAAATATTAGCGCCTTCAACAAACGAGGTTTCCTTTTTCTAATGTTATTGATGATGCTGCAAAGTCTGTTATTCATTAGTATTCCGAAGAAATCATGAGGAAAAGACAAGCACGAACATTAACTTTCAAGTAATTGAGCTCTATTGTTTTTAATCAATTTCTTGCTGAATACAATAAGCAGAATATGTGCCTAAAATTGTTTTTTTTAATTCAAGTCACATATAGCATACAATATAATTAAAGGCATGAATATTGTGGTAGATTTCTAGGTTATATTTATTTTGAGAAAGAAAATTATGTATAGGTAATGGGGCTTATCAAGAACAAAACATGTTAATTGCATGAAAATAATTAATCGAGATGATAATAAGCAAACAACTAAAAGGTTTTCCAATCATTTCTAGATGCAAGTGATTAAAGAATATGTTTAAAGAATATTTATGAAGGCCTTCTCACTTAATTACTGGTATCATTATATCTGGCATTAATAAAACATACTTCATTCCATTTTAACTCTTAAAACTTAAAATCTATTTACTGTCAAAATGCTGTTTTCAGAGCATCATAGAATAACTTATTTGGACAAAGGAAGCTGGCTTCTCGGGAACATCAATCAAACAGGCTACTTTAGAGTCAACTATGACCTAAGGAATTGGAGATTATTAATAGATCAGTTAATCAGGAACCATGAGGTATACTCTAGATTTGCTCATCAATGATCTGCTTTTATGTCTCAACACCTGTCATTTTAATCCTAAATGATTCCTTTCTTTTCCCTCCTGATTTGCCTCTTAGGTTCTTTCTGTCAGTAACCGTGCAGGTTTGATCGACGATGCCTTCAGCCTAGCCAGGTACGTTTTCCTGTGGATCCATAATAAAAACTTACACTTCTAAGGTGCCCTCATTATGCTAGGTAGCATATGGATTTTGAATTTAAGAATTTTTAAAAATAATTTCTATCTCATATTCTTTGTGTTTAGATATGAATTATATTCAGTGTCCCAGACTCTTGATCAATAATAGCCATAGGGTATTTCTGAGACAGGAGAAACTTGATCAATTTCACTGCAAGTTCAATTTAATACTCTGGAGATTAAAAATCTCTTCCCAATTTCTTTAATGAACTTGACAAAATGGCCATTGTGCCATATTTAACTTTTGATAGAAAATACCTTCAAGCATCAGCCATATTTTTCCTGACATATGTCAGTATATCATATTTTAATGTTTTTTGAATGTGATTCATTATGAAAAGCTCATGTGCCAAGAGAAATATTCCACAGGGTAAAACTGTTCTGGACAAAATATATATCAATCTTGCAGCAGAACCTTTTAGTTGTATTAGTTACAGTAATATTTGTGTTACTTTCACAATTTGATTTATGTTAAAAATCTGTTGTTAATTTGAACAGTCATCATATGAAATGATATCATAAACTCAAGCTATTTACTAGACTTTGAAAATAAATAAGTAAAACGAACTCAAGCCTTTTTGATATTATTTAATCTTTCAAATACAGATAGTTTCACTTTTTTTTTTTTTTTTTTTTTTTAGTACCAGGGATCGAACTCAAGACCTTGTGCTTGTGAGGCAGGCAGCACCACTGAGCTAAATCCCCAGCCCTAAATAGTTTTACTTTTAATAATCTATTTTTGCACACTAGAGTTTAGACATGGGAATTTCTCTGTACTTACCTGGCTGTCATGATTTACCACATTTTCTACTAAGATAATTGTGTGCAAATACTTAGTTATGTCTGACATGAACACATAACTTATTTTAATTATAGGCATTGTTTCATTCATGGGACCTGAAACTGCTTTTACAGTTTATATATTCAATCAAATCTCAATTCTCTTCCATATGTTAAAAAACATATCACTCCCCATGGCATTCTAATCCATCAAAACTAATAAACTTATATATAGAAGACTTGATAATTATTTTGACAGAAGCAAAGTCAAAGTTTGGGACCAATGAAAGAGATTGTTTTTTGTAGATATTTATAATTCATAGGGGAGAATACACATAGAAAAGAGTAAAAAACAAACCGTTTTTTTCTATTAAAGAAGACAAAACTTTGACATTCACTTTCTTTATTGCCACTAGAGGCCCTAAAACCATTACTATTATGTTTCTTCACTTGGTGAGTGATACTGTTGTCAATCAATCTGATCAGACACATCTTGTTACAGGCACAAATTTGCCTGCTTACTATATGACAAATCTAAGAACAATTTATCAACAAGGAAGTTTCTAGTGGTGGAATTATAACAATTAAATATAGCTGTATAATGAGAATGGGGGTTTACTTCCAGCAAAAATAAGTGAGGACCCTTCCATACCATAGCACCATCTTATTGAGGAAAAATTTAGGAACAAGAGAGGTGGATAGAAGCCTAAGAAAGCGATATGTGGAGTAATTATTAAGATGTAGCTTTTTCTTTGCAGTAAAATATAAAGACATTAAAGAAAGCATGAAGTATGACAGAAAAATTATTTCTACATAGCAGCTTAGAGAGCCCAGAAATATAGAAAGTATGCTTAATGTAATATTGCACTGAGAAAGAAACAGAAAAAAAGAAAGAGATTGAGGACTAAAAGGAAAGGGTTAGAAACTACAACAAAACAGAAGAAATAGTAGTCATCACTAGTGAATAAAATATTTGATAGATCCAGACACTATTCTGTTTCACATATGATACCGCTCTTTCTATCTGTGTGGGTTGGGTCCCAGGACCTCCTGTAGATACCATAATCTGAGGATGCTTGAGACTCTTATATAAAGTGGTGGGCTGGGGATTTAGCTCAGTGGTTCTGCCGCCTGCCTTGCAAACACAAGGTCCCGAGTTCGATCCCTGGTACCAAACAAAACCCTCAAAACCCCCAAAAAACTGTGTTTTCTTATATAAAATGGTATAGTACCTGCACATATTCCCTTGTATACTTTAAATCATCCTTAGATTTTTTATAATGCCTAATACAATCTAAATGTTGTGTGGGTTTTTACAGTGTTGTTTAGAGAATAATGGCAAGAAAATAATTCTAATTTTGGAAGACTTGAAAGCTTGAAATCAGTAATATCATTTTTACACATTTATAAGAAAAATATGCAAATCTTATTGAATATATACTTCCAATTTACTTACTGCTTAGGAGATAATTTTATTATTAGAATGGAAAAATAAATATAAAATTGTTTTTTTTACACAAATAATTTGCATTTATCTTATTTGTATTTCACTGTGTTCCAGCAAATATTTCATAATTTTGCTATTCAGTCTATATCAAACTTCGTTCAATTTCTTGAATATGTCAGGCACTGTTGCTGTTCATGGCCATGGCACTGCACAGAGAGGAAAGTCCCTTATATCTGTATATTTCATCTCTCCAGTGCCCTCAAAAAGTGCTTCTTGGCTTCTTTAAAAATAACAAGTAGCCAGACATGGTGGCACATTCCTGTAATCCCAGTGGGCTTGGAGGCTGAAGCTAGTGGATTTCAAGTTTGAGCCAGGCTGGGCAACTTAGTGATTCAGTGAGATCCTACTTAAAATAAAAAATAAAAATGCCTGTTAATGTAGTTCAGTGTGAAGGTACTGGTTTCAATCTTGGAAACAACAAAATGCAAATAAATGCAGTAAAAATAAAAAATAATGAGAAAAATGAATATTTATTAAAACTCATGCACGAGGTACTGAGCTGAGGCTATTGTTAATTATCTCCTTTAATGTTTATAAACACGTGGAGAGACTATGGTTACTATTTCCAATTTATAACAGGGACATGGAGAGTAAGGGTGTTTCTCCATTTAATTCAGTTGTGCATGTGGGGGATGGCAGGGAGGGAGTCAGACCAAAGCGTGGCACACCAGAGTCCCCAACTTCAAATCAAAACGAGTTTGCCATTACATGAAATTTCTTTTCATCCTGTCCTCTTTTTCTGGCCAGAATATTACCATTCATTTAAAAAGAAAAAATATGTTATTTCATTTTCCCTCCTCCTCCTCATGTGTGGTTCCAGTAAAGGTAAGGTGGTGTTCCGTGGGTCATTGTTACAGCAAGTGTTACCTGACTGTACCACCACTTACTTTTCTGGGTTCCTAATGGCTCTTGCATGATCTGGTTGGCTGTACTTTGCCTACATCCTTTCATATGGGATGTGTCAATATATGTTTGTTACAGAATTAACAGTATGAATTGATAATTAATTGTTGAATTATCAATGTATCAAATTATAACCTTTCATGCCATTATTTTTGTGCAATCAAGAAGCCATCATCTTGCATTCTTTTAAAATTGTTTTTAAATACATGAAAAATAAGAGTACACTATAATAGTAAAATATTAAAACAAAGAAAAACAATGTCAAATCCTTTTTGATTCCCTCCATTCTCTGCCAGTACTTCACCACTTTACAGTTAACATTTTTAATATTTGTTATGTATCAATCCAGTTATTTTTCTGTATTCTTCCATTCTTCCATACAATTTAGGTTTTGTTAAAAAAAACATGAACAGAAATGCATTCTGTTCATTGTTTCTTGTTTTTTAATAATAATCATCCTGGAGTCATCTTCTACTGTGCATATGCATATTATATAGGGTTGATGGAATCTGGGCTTCAAGAATATAGGATTTTAAATGAATATTAGAAATCATGCCAAAAAGCCTGTTCAATTTAACCTACCATCAACCATACATGAGGTTGTCCATTTTTTTCCTGTCTTCTATTATAATGAATAGTATAAGTATTTTAGATTTTGACAATATTATAATCAAAGTAATTTTTGGAAGTTGTTCACTGCTGGTTAAAATAAGTTGTGCAACTGTTATAGTTTGGATCTGGACTGTTCCCTGAAGGCTCATGTGTTGAAGACTTGGTCCCAAGGAGATGGTGCTATTAGGAGGGAATGGAAGTGTTAGGAAGTGGTTCTGGTTGAAGGAAGCAGAACATTAGAGGCATACTTTGAAAGTGTGTTGGGACCTTGGTCCCTTCCTCTTTCTCTCTGCTTCCTGGCCACCATGAGATGAAAGGCTCGCTGTCCCACATGCTCTCTGCCATCAGGTTCTGCCATGTCACAGGCTCAGAATTATGCAGTAAGTAGCAGTGGACCTCTAAAACCATGAAACAAAAGACATTTTTTTCCTTCTAAATTGATATTCTGAGGTATTTTGTCACAGCAACAGAAAACTGACTAACACAGCAATCTTTTGTGTACATTTTCTATTTCTGTTTTCTGTGAATTGACACTTGCTTTAAAAAAGAAACATAAAAACATAATAGAAAAATAGACAAGTATTTTTCCTACTTTTTGTGTTTTAGAGACATTAAGGTATTAATCCTTTTGGTAGCAACAATTTTGCAATACTTTATCACAATATTATGCCAATTTTTCACTTTGTGGTATATTTCATCATTTAAAAGCTTTTCATTTATGTGTCAAGTAATTCCTTTTATAACTTTCTGGTTCTTTTTGGTTCATCCTGTTCTTAATCAAAATATTGTCAATGTAAGTTTTAGAATTCATTTGACAAATTCCATTTAAAAATATTGCAACAGTTATGACTGGGTAAGCATTACATTTATAAATCAATTTGTAGAGTATTAACATCTTTGCATATTTGAACTTTGCAGTAATAGAACATATTATTTCTCTCCATTTGTTCAGGTCCCTAAGTCAAGCCCTATGATTTTATGTGTATGAGTTCGGGTAATATGTTATTTCTTCGTTTTAGAAAGTATATGATGCTGTACTAAGTGGCATTCTTTCCACACTCACGTATTCTGATTTAGATTGCTTATGCATAAAAAATCAATTAATCCAATACCTTGCGAGTTATGTTGTGTGATG